AAATCTACAATCCTCGTCGCGCGTGTCGATACACAAAGTCTTCAAAATTGTGTTCGCGACAAAACTCGAGACGATATTGACTCGCGCGATTGTCATCTTCACTTGATCGTCAAAACTCGCCACACGCACAATCCACAATCTCTTGTAAGTTATTATACACTCGATGGCTAAGCGCCAACTCTTTGTAGTTGGAAATACATCATTTATCATCATGTATCTCTTTAATTTATGAGAATGCATATGTACGATCAAACGATGTATCTTTAATACAGAAAGAGTCATAGTTGCTCCCGAGTTGAGATCAACGCGGAATCCAACGTGATTCCGACCTGCTTTGTGGTCGAAAAATAAGGGCAATCTAATCACAGCTTCTGGGGAAATAATTCCGTTACATCAACGTCGTTAAAGTCCTCGACGCGAGTGGACATACAGCGCGAACACACATCCGCGCCGTTGGGACTGCGTTACTGTCAAACAATTTCGTGCGCGTTTACCGACATTGAAACGCAAATTACAATCTTTTCTTCGGTGTGTTGAATAATCTCGCCGGTTTCGAAACACACGCAAAGTTCTCTCGATTGTCCAATCAATTTCGTGTAGCTGTACGCGTCGAACGGCAATTAGGAAAGTGAAAGGCGGCACGCAACGCGTCGTTCTCTCTCGTAGCGTTGCGTGTTTGCATATACACGTACACATATACGTGTACGTCACGCAATTCCGAGTGTGATAAATCTAAACGTTTTTGAGAACTTAAAAGAGAGCTGTGATTACAATAAAAAAAAAAACACATATGATATTCGATCGTAAAACATTAAAGTGTATAAACGCGTTCCGATGCGAGTATCATCTGTTGCTGAGAATCCAAACAAACATTGTTTCTTCAGGAAATCTAAATGTAGCATAAATGTTCCAAAAAGTATATATATTTATATTTGCTTAACCACGTAGTTTTACAACTTTTAAACAATAGAAATAAATTTAATAATCAACTTGTGACTTGTATGTATAATAAAACACTACAAAGCTTTGATCGTTCTATTCCATAGTTTCAAGGTTTTTCAATCTGACACTTTATGTTTTTCGATAAAAATAATAAAAACTTTCTGTGTTGAGAGAACCGCAATTTTTCAAACAGTCATATTTTTTGCTATTTAAATTTTGTCATTGCACACGTCAGATTTAGAGATTTTTGTTTCTGACTTTTTAGAGAAACATAAATATGTCAAAACCAGTAATATTTCGAAGTTTCATCTTCTTTTCAAGTGCAGATACTGGATGTGGAAAGGCCATAGATAGCATGCACTTCAAATTCTCTCTCTCGAACACGATCCGCGCGATCTCACTCGAGAACGCATTCATTCATGAGCGCAAAGAGCGAACTGGGCGAAACGTGTGTGACCTACATTTTCATCCTACAGCTCGATCGAAACGCTCGACCGTTTAATGGCTCCCGCTTCCATGTTCCTCTGTTTCCGCGGAAAAACTTTTATGCCCGAGATGCATCAAACGAACGATAAAGAGCAAAATGAGATTCTCTAAGAGCGCGATGCGCGAACCAGCGACGAACGAGGACTACAAGACTCATTTTATACGAACAACGATATAACCCTCCGCACCCGCTTCGAGCATCCGAAAATATCGTGCTCTCGAAAACATGGAACGCCGCTGTGTATCAATTATACAGACAGATTTTTTCTCGTTCTTTTCTGCTTTCCGCATTTCATTTCAGTTGTGTCAATGCTCAAATTTTTATTGAACACACAGACTTCTTTGACGCGGCACATTTTTTGTGAACAAAATCTCGTGATTAAAACATCGACTGCTTAAACTTAATCGGTGGTTCGTATTGCGACAATAATTTCCGCAAACAAAATACAAAAAATATTTAATTTTCAATTATTATCATCGATGTGTATACTTAAAATTCGCGCACGGAAGTTCGTGACCAATAGAACAACAGAAATCTTCAACACCAAACAAGTGCTTTATAATTCAACAATAGAAATGAAAGAAAAGCGGTAGAAAGAGCGGCGTCGTAAGTTGACTTTGCAAGTTAAAGATCTATCAATAGATTTGCATGATCGTGTAAATATATATCTACTCGAAAAAATCGTCGATCAATGGCGCATACAATATTAAACATTTTACTCGAACTCTCCGACTAGAATAGTCTGAACTCCAGAATATTTGAATAAAATTTATTAAAAAAGATTTTAGTTCAAGGTACGTGTCGTTGAAATATAAATTTTAAAGTCTCTAAAAAACGCTACATAAATCATTTAAGTACTAGAATAAGCGGTAAAAATTGTTGAGTGCAGTTTTATGATACTCTTTCAGTTATATATTCCAATATGATAGAAAATAAAAAAACAAATCATTTTAAAACGCCGATAAACTTTTTCCTGAGCAACCCAAATATTTCATGAAATATTGCAGCTTGAGCAGAGAGTTTTATTAGTATCGCGCGCGTAAAATTGTTCTCTCAGTTGCTAAAAGACAGCCATATATTTTACCATTTTTAAAGCACATCCTTTCTTATCTTTTATTAATAATACAGAAATCATTGCGATCATAACGCGAACAAAGATGGCCATTATATTTATATTAGCAGCGATCGACGCAGAAATCGACTTTCATTAATCATCCTCGTGCTCGCACCGCGATCATTTATTTTCCCCGTTCGTAATCAGAGCGGGATCTCACGAGATATGTATATATCGACTCGTTACGGTGTAGTTTAATGCGCGTATATCCTTTTGAGAAAATCTGCGCAGATCGTCGGATTACACAAAGAGAGATCCTCGCCTTATTAGCCGGCGATTATGTGACGTCGACTTGTCGAGTTCATCAGTGCGCGGGTAATATACATCCACACGACCAGCCACGACAACGACGACGACGGGAACGTTGGCAAAGTCGGGTAAAATAATTGCTCATCGATCGCGAGTCTTGTACGCAGGTGCGAATTTAATAATATACTGCGAAACTCATATTGACGCAGGACCTGCGTGACTCTCTCTTTCTCTCTCATTTTAACGTCATTCTCTGCATCGCGGAAGAAACTTTACACCTTTCAGACGCGACCTCTTATTAGCGAAGAAGATGGAACTCCTGTGCGCGCGATGGAATAATTGACACAATTTCCGCGTAAGATTGCCTGCGCACATTGAACGCGCGCGTCACAAAAGTGTCAAATTGTAATTAAAAACGCTTTGACGCGCGCAAAAATAGATTTAAAAAAAAGTTGGATACGACAAAATTTTATTTTTGTCGCTCTCTGATATCGAAAATAAATTTCTTGCACGGTGTCTTGGTTCTCGCAAGTTTTGTAAATTTATTGTGTAAATTAAGAGTGTATAAAATCGTGATTATACAGATTGAGATAAAGAATGGACAAAATTTAAAACTATAAAAAATGTTATTTTTCCAAGAGTGACATTTGCATTACGAAATACGTCAAAAATGCAAAGCAAATGTGCGCATGAAGTTAACGGAAACCTTTTAACTTCACGTCGAACCAGAATGCGAGATAAATAAACAGGTACGAGCGAGCATAATCTCTCGCTTGTGTGCAGCACTTGTTGCGTGAAAAAAGAAGTATTTTGATACAAATCTGACGCGAACTTCTACGAAGTTATTACGTCGCTGAAATTCACGCGATGCAAAATGTAAAACATGACAAATCCGTGTAGCATAATAAATAGTCGTGTAATTCTTATTAGTTTTTTGCGGTATTTATAATACACTGTAATTACACGTGTGTATTTACAACATGAAATCAACGCCTCAAATACCAATAATAAACTTCAAAAACACTGACTACATAAGTTGATTATATAATTGGATTGTAATTTAATTTCAGAAGAACAAGAAATTCTCTCAAGTTTCTTTTCTTTTTCTCCCACAATATATAGACACAATCTGTAAAAAGTTCTGCACAAAATTTGTTTTGCAAACTTTGAATAATATTGCTAAATGTTGTTTAAATAGCTTTTTCAAAAATGATCATTTACAAAATATCAATAAAAACATTTTTTACATCAAATATTGATAATCATTTCTGATAATTTTTTCGTTTTCATTTTTGCCATTTTTGACGTAGTTAGTATCCTTGAATAGCATTGATATAGAAATATGCGGATATACGATAGTCAGTAACCTCGAATGGAGGACGCAATCTGTATAGATAAATCTAAGGTCAGAGGACACATTTTGGTCGGACGGTGAATAAGCCACTACTTCTCAAAACTGGCTTTTTTTGATGCCATCAAATAACGCAAACTATTGAGATAAGTTCTGATGCGCTTCCGTTTCTCTTCCTCATAACAATACTTGTTACATAACCATTTTATTATCAAGCAAACTTTTCAAGTTCAAGAATATATTATACATATTTTCGAGCGCGCGTTTCTAAAATCAATACAAAGCTTCTAAACAATTTACGTTTATATGTGTAGACAAAATTTAATTTTTTCGCCATTCCACAAATAAAAATGTTACAAACATCTTGTTGTACAAATTGTGACTTTATTTTTTAATTTTTTAATATCGTATCAATCAACTCTGATATTTTATCGCGTACTTCATTAATAAATAAGAAAATAAAGTGTTCCACCAATTCATTTTATTTGTCCGCGTGAAATATAAAATATTTATTTTCAGCGAAGAAACTTCTAATGCGTGTGAAAAATCTGAAAGTTATAGAGAGAAAGACAAATGTTATTATTAACCCGTAATTTCCTCCACAGAGATGACAGTCTAAAATTTCATATTTCTCCCGACAACTGCAAACGTATTTCGTTCTTCTGAAAAGAGTAAACAGAAGCTGCTGTCGCTTTATTACGAGAAAAGAAAAGACATGACACGAAAATGTGCTCTTTTCAGCGCAGATCGCGTGAAAAGACCCGCGCACGCGTTGCGATTAAATAATATGGCTCGGCATCTCTTCAAGAGAAGAAAGACTGCCGGGAAATTCTATTTACTGGTCGTCATTCACTTACCCCAAAGTGGAGAGAAACCCGGACACGTTTCCCTCGGCGTAGAGGCTGACGATATCGCCGAGGTGAAGGAAGCTCGCGGATCCCAAAAGCTCGCCCATCTCGATGCCGTCGTCCTAGAGTCGCTCTCTCTCCTTTCTCTCTCTCTCTCTCTTTCTTTCTCTTTCTCTCTCTCTCTCTCTCTCGGTGACCAAATAGGAGAAACTTCCACGTTGGCCGCTTTAGCTGAGTGAATTATTCATGGCCATTCCTGAGGGAAGCGAAATAAACAATTATTAAGAAAAAACCCGAAGGGAATACTGGTGTAATGAACAAGATACTTGGAAACATCGGAATCGTATTCAACAACGAGAAAAAACACATTATGTGTTTTTTCTTCTTTTTACATTATATATGTAGTAAACATCACAGCGGAAATCTAGAAATTATGAATTATTATTATACAACATTGTTGGATTGAATAAATTATGTTGCATGAAATGATAAAGAATTGAAAACAAAACTGTGAGTTTAAAAACTCAAGAAACACTGCTATATATCTATTTTAACATGATATTTAATTTAAAAAATTTAATTTAAGAAATACGTGTACGTAGTTTCGATCTAATAAAATCTAGTGTACAATATTTTTTTAAGCAAAAAACTGCTGCAGTAAAATGTAATCGACCGAGGGATATTTTTGTATATTACGTACATTTCGTCATTGTTTGTTTGCGAGAAGCCATCACGCGTACTCATTTCGAAGAACATGTCCCGAAAATCACCTCATAATTCTAAAAATGTAACAATAAATTTCTTGTGCTCTTTCATTATAAATAAAACACCTAAATATTTCCATAACGTTGGTCTACCATCGCGGTTGTATATTCGATCATTTATTATCTTAAGAGCTGCACTTTCGCGCCGCTTTTATCATTAAATACGAGATCCACGAATAGACGCTAGTTATTAAGAGGAATGTTCTGGAAAACTTCGTCGAGCGTTGGAAGTCGTTTTGCACGATAAATACTACGTGCTAGCGTGCAAACAAACGAGACTTAATTGTTGAATAATGCCACCCGCAAATTGCCAGATGAAGTTATCCGTCTAATAGATCTGAGACGCGATAGTCAACCAGTCGCAAGAGACGTTTTTCCTTTCTCATTCATGCGAACAGATAGTTTTTCGCGTGACAATACCGCGATAAACATGCAAGTTTCTGATTTTTTGCATGTTTATTTCAGACAAAAATAAAACGAAAACGGATCTCATCCATTTGTCGCTTAAGTAAAGATGTTAATCTCGCTTTTTAATTAAATCGTAACTCGATTCGTCAGCAAAACAATACCCGTGCATACAACGCGCAGAGCGAAAGGATGTAAAATCCTATCGGCCGTGCAATCGTCTGGAAATGATTTACCGACGAATCGCGATACAGCTTTCCGATAAAAACATTTGTTGTTGCAATCGAGTGTCTTCGAACAGAGGAGAAAGAACTTTGTCCGAGACTTTACTCTCTTTAAATTAAATTGACCCTTAACCTTAACGTTCACGTAAACAACCATAAAACCGTAGGTGCAATCCACTACTGGTCGGGTCCACTTTTGCGGTAGGAATCGATGGAACGATGTGCTCTGAGATGTACCGACAACCACTTGATGTAACTCAAGTGCAATCTAGAATTCGTGGAATAAACTGAAAAAAAATCGATAGCATTTGCCGTCTTTTGCTAAGATAGCGGAATCGATAACGACGAATTAACTTTAATTAAATTTCTACTCGGACTGAACGTCACATTTTATTATCGTACAATCCGGCTGTATTTAAAATTCAATTAAACTTACTGAAATTAATCAAGAATAATACATGTATCGAGATAATATATAGATAGATTTATATGATTTATTACATATATATTTTATCTGGAAAATAAACCGAGAAAATATCTGTAAAAATAGTCGTCGTACGTACGTAGAAACAACAATGTATTGGCTTCGTACAACAAAAAAAACTACTAAACGTTTTTATACAGCTACATGTGTTATCTCATACGCGGACAAATGCGCTATTTTTGGATCACATTCATAGAAATGACACAAGAAAGAATTACGTGAGTCTCTCTCTCCGGCTTTCAGTCGTAAAATAAATAATCCGACAACGCGGCGAAAAGTTAATGAGCATCGAGATACACACTGAGAAAATCTTTTCATCGAAAAACACGTGATCGTTCGAAGTTATTAGATCTAATGAAGAAGATGAAACTTCACGTTTTTTATTACACACGTCACGTAAAAAACAAGACAAGACTAAAGAGAAGAACAAGATTCTTTTACTTGAAGAGTAAAAAAAAACAAACACTTTTCTTAATATTTATTAATGTTTATTACAGAAATTTTATTAGTATAGAATTTGTATCAGTATTTATTATAGAAATTACATCAAGACACACTTTTAATTTACAAAAATAGTTTAACATTAAAAACTGATAAAACAGAATAAAAAATCAATAATCTGATGTGCTGAATTATGAAAATAACAGACATCAGAAAATAAAAAAACATATTAAAAAATTAGTATTATCTTAATCATTTCGTGATCATCAAAGTTTTGAACAACTGCATAATTACCGTATCAGCGCGAATATGCGTTTAAAATTTTTGTAAAACATCTGCATTGCGCTATAATAATCCCACGACACGTAATTTCTGATTTAACGACGTGAAAAACCGAGATATTGTTAAAGTTCTCGTGCGCGCGAGAGCGCACTAAAATATTATTTATTAAACAATACCTCGTTGCCACGTGCAGATGATACTACACGTATCGCGTGATACACGAGAATCCTTTCCAGCTGCCAACGATATCACACACTATCTCTTTTTTAGCGGCAGTTTCCTTCTTCGTGTAAAAAAAAAACATTTCCTTTGTTTGGTGATTCATGTAAAAAAAATACGTGTACGTATAAAAAAAGTTCTTTTACGCAGTAATTTAATTATCAGCAAGAGAAAGCAGATAAGATTATTAAGTTTTGAATTCCATATGTTTTCATAACTTATACTGCTTAATTATTGCTGTTATCAGCAAAAATTAATAAACTTTTTAAATTATAATTATATATTTCATTTGCTTATTTTCTCACTTTTGTTAATTGTTTTAATTATATTTGTATAAACATTGAAATTTTCAAACACATTGATTGGTTTTACAAACTGTACACAATTTTTTAGATATATCAAGCTGTGTGTACTTCTAATGCGATGAGAAACGCGCAGCATCGTCTTCGCGCGATAAACGATGCAGCAACAGCCGTCGGGACAATAAACCGCCAATTGACTATCAATATCGTCTAATGAAACCGTATCGTTGCATTGCGATACGAAGGGACACGCAATTCTATCCGATCCACCGCTATTCACCGAACAAAATGCTGCTATTAAACGACATCTAATACGACCTCAACACACGCGCGGCGCATATTACTTACATATATAGCACCCGCGAGAATCATCGCGTAATTCTGCTATACGGTAGAAAAGTTTCCACACGTTGCCACAAAAAGAAATTCCATTATCTAGTGACGACAACGCGGAACGCATATGTATATATATGTACATTTACATATGTATACGCACATATATACAGTAGACTTCCGTAAAACAGGAATTATTTAACACACAGATTCTTTTATACATGCTTATACACTTCCGAATTCATACATAATTCATATTTGTGTAATCTATATGAATCTTGCATAACACGGATATGTAACACAGAATGTATTCTCTGTATTATACAAGGATCTACTGTACATACACACATACATGTACATATATGTATATATTGTATATACATTATAAAAAAAATTCAGACTGCAAATGATTTTCCGCTCGGCAAATCCGCAACGAAAAAGAAGAAAGAAAGAATCGGAATTATCAAAGTTTGCCGAAAGAGATCAAACGGCTACTAAATATTCCAACAAGTTGTTGACAAAGTTTTTCAATGATTAAAACACGTCGCGTCTCTCGTAATCTTCCAAAAATTCGCGAACATAGATCGAAATTCCGCGCGGATCGCGAGCGAAAATTCACTAATTTTTTTTTTATCGAAAGTGCGAGAAACAATTGATCGCTCATCTCGGAGATATTTGATTTGCGAATTTTCAGTGAAATTCGTCGCAGATTTGCATTCGCAAAAGGAGCGAAATGTATGTTTGCGTGTGTTCGTCACCGTGACAAGTGCAACGAGCTTACAGTCCAGGGTCGTCGGTGTGCGATGCGTCAACCTGACGCATTACGGCCTACGACACACCTTGACCTCGGATTGCCACAAGTGGCCCCGAAAGCCATGCGCAAGTGTCTAATTTCAATGTGCAAGGGGATATCGGGTTTTCATGAATATTATGCAAGCGAGTCGACGGCGACTTCTCACGCGAGATATGTCACAATCGAGATCCGGTCGTTACGCGATCCCGCGGCGACCTCATCTTCTAAGAAAGACCGTTCGATTGTAGGGGAATTCCTTTGGGTTTTTAGGATCAACGCGCGCGACGATTGAAATATAGATATACAAGTACACATACATCAGAGCGGGGCGCGCTGATGTGATTCAGCTCTCGCGGATCTCGCGCGAATAATTCAGCAGAGAGTCGACTCGAAATATCAATGTCATCGTCTGAAATGCATTATGCATTCGGGCACATCAAGTATGTATATTGACGAGAATAATCGCGCGCAGTTCTCCGAAAAAAGACTTCTGACATTTTTTCCCCTTTTCAGATTAATTTCAAGATTATTCGCGTCGAACAATAACTGAAAATATATTTCGCGATTAAACAATCGCAAGAATGGGTCAACAAGTAAATGGACTTTCGTAAGATGTGATATACATAGACGTATACTTTCCTTTTTGTGGGAGTATTCTTGAACTTCAACAGCTTTTAAGCTGTACTACACATATAAGTACGCCGCGTTTAAAAACCTCTATTTTTGGACAACTACTCGTGACACAAATAAAGCTACGACGAGTCGCGAAGACATTTCGTCAAGACCGTAGTACTCTCTTTTCATACATTAGATCACATCTTTCTCTTATATACAAGTTAATTGAAAGTAGTTTAGTAAGTACTTTCAGTAATTTTACATATAAGTGCAATTGAATTTAATAAAAAAATATTTTTCGTAACGAAATGTTGCGTTTCAGAAATGTGGTAGAAATCGAACGTAAAATCAAGAAAAATATTTTCTCATTGAATTAAGCATTAAAAGATTTTACCTGCTTTCGATCTTAATCATTGGGTAAATGTTTAAAATTCTTACATCAACTCGCCACGTTTTATCGGGACATAAAAAGAAGGAAGCAAGCGCATTATCCGCTCGCGATGTCATTAACCCTTACGGATTTGTCGTATACACGTCTGACCCGTACCGGTTGGTCAATGAAGCATTATATCCGTTTTGCAGAGAGAACTCCGATGCGGTAATGAAAACCCGTCGAACTGCCGCGTCCCGGAAACTTCCAATCGATACGCGAACAGCCCCGGAATCAAAATAAAGCAAAAAATTCTCCTTACAGAAGTGGGATAAGTGCACGTCTGTATTTTTCTCTCATCAAAGAAAATTTCTATCTCGGGAAAGTATTTTTAGAAACCGTGAAAAGTTTTGAAAGTATGCTTCCGGGTGTTGTAGTTTTCGTAATGCATCATTTATTATCTCGCAGAATCGAAAAGCATAAAAATCATTCATTTTATATTTCTATTATCTTTTCACATTTTTCACGAGCGAAATATAAAAGAGAAATAATTTTTGTCGCGATATTTTATCTTTAACATAAAAAAGCTTCACCTTTTATATTTAAAGTAATACAATTCTAGTTTACTCACGCTATTTAAGTTTTTTTTCCATGCTCCAATCTCTCTGCTTTTAAAAAATTAAAAAACAGGACAAGAAAAGTCTCTCGTGGTAAAGAGACTAATTTAACGCTATGACCGTCTCGCTCCAATTTTTCATCGACATGGGAGGTGTTACAGAGAGTAAGCGTTATACAAACAAACCTCCCAATTAAGCCACTCGGTACTAGACGCGAAATGTAAATAACTCTCACCGGCCGCACAACTTTTGCAAGCTGAGATTTCACACACAACATACATACGTGTCAAATCCGGGTTGTTCGCGCGTCTAAGAATCACGTTCGCGATAATGAACGTGTCGGAAATGCTAACGATAGAACACAAAACGACGGAAATGTGTGCGCACTGTGTAAACATCGTTCTCCCTTTTATCTTTTTCTCTATCGGCAAACTCGTTAACATCGGCAAAAATTGACCCCGCGGGAGATGAGAAGTTCCAAAGTAAACTCCCTTTCCGCGTTTTGAGAGAAGAGAGAAGAAACTTCTGGAGGAGGAAACTCCGAGAGAATTTCCGAATTCTATTTAAAAATCAGAAAATGCACACACATCTCTTCTGATCTCGGGTACGAAAATATTGACGCACAAAAACAGCTGCGCCCGTCCTTGCACGAATTTAAAAGCGATATATCGCGTTTGAGACATCAGTTGTCAACGAATGATCGATCGTGCCACTTTGATGTACATCGATTTATTTTCGAAAGAACATCCCGGATTTTTTTTTTTTTTTCCTAATGCGCGATCTCTCTTGTGTCAATGAATGAAGTCAGCGTTTCTTTGCGGAAGCACCGAAAGGCAATAACTTCAGCAAGACGTTCAAAAATAAAACTTGTTCGAGAAACAGAAAACGATTCGAATATAATGCGGAAGAAACTGGTTTTCCCGACCTCCGATATTCGACTCTGACATTCGCAATGCGTTTCGCGCGCGCAGAAAAACCGTTGATTTAACTTCGTGCGGAAAGATCGCGAACGAGCGAAGAGAGCGAGCGAGCATCACCGCGGGGCATCAACGCGACCGATCGAAACGTCCCGCGTCATTAGCGAACCGACCGACGACGGCCGATGAAAGCGCCGGTTCGCATCTCATTAGCAATAATCGAAAAGCTCGCACAATTTGACGAACGATTTGTCGTGGTAAACGGCGCGTGAAAGACGCAAATCAAAATCGTTTACTGCTCGTGCAAAAATACGTGCCAAAAAAAGATGCAATCTTTTTGCGCCTTCGCGTTCGCACTTCCGTTTGTATTCCGCTCGCGCGTGAAACAAATGACATCTCGGAACGACGTTCGAAAATCGAACGCGCGCGAGGTGGACTCTTCGGAGATCGAAGGCACTTCGCGCGCTGCGAATCGCGCTGCGAACGAGAGCGAAGAGGAGTGCGGAGGGGAGAAAGAAAACAACAAAAAAGTGTTTACTCATTTCCTCGCGGCGGTGGCTGTGGACTCTCCTCCTCGTCGCTCGGCTTTAGATGAATCGGATCCTCTTGTTGCGAAAGCACAGCCTGATGCGATGATACGCGATTTCGTCTGTTCTTACGCGTTAAAAACGCCGCTTGCACATCCGTTTCTCGAGTCCGAAAATTCTCTCTTCGCGCGAGAAACGGACCGGTTGGCAGATTGCTGACGGTCTCCTGGTGATCGGTGCGCGCACGTACACACTCCGATTTTGATACGTGTCCGTGAGAATGTGCGTGCGTACGCGTGAAGCGCGTGGTGATAAATCAAACGGTAACGATCGGCGCGACGGATTTACGGAAGCTAATCGCAATGTATCTACGTATCTCTCTCAGCCTCGCATGTCTCTCCGCGCGGACAGCTGCCGCCACTGACAAGTGTCACTGGCACGTATACGCGGATCGAAATTGACGGTGTCAACACGCAAGACGTAACAACAAACCCACTCCACCCGATGGTCCCGACACGACTGAGCGCGCGCGCTCCGCGATGGTAAACGGCGCGCGCATGCGCGCGTTTCTCTCTCTCTCTCCACGGGATTGTTTCGTTGATCACTGCGCGCGCAACTCTATCGGTCGATTCGACACACTTTTACCTTCAGTTGTATATCGCAGCAGGGCGCAAGAACACGGTCGCTCGATTGATTTTGTATCATCAATCGGTATATTATTTAACGTTGAAAAGGAAAATGGCGTTCGATAGTGTCTTTATTATCAACTGGTATATTATTGTCAACAAGCTCAGTTCTCCTGACGACGGTCGAGGGAAAGTTATTCGCTTTCATTGTGTGTCGTTTTTACTCGAGCAGCCGACGAGTCGTCACAATTCGAAATATTTCCGCAAGTATCTGTGAAACTCTCCAGAAGACACCGAACCAGCACGTGAGTGTTTCTTCATCGAATTTTTCCGATTGCAACATCACATATCAACAATTTTTATTTAATCTCGATTTATTTAACATACAAGAGCTATTTGTGTCAACATTGCGCATCCAATATATATAGCTGTATTTTATTGACGTATATATATAATATATATATATATATATATATATATATATATACAATACATATATTATATATATTATATATATATATTTATATATATACAATAGACTTTCGATATAAGAAATATCGAAGGATAGCCGAAAACTCGGAAAAGTCTATCGAATGCCCTTTCCAATAGTGATGTGCGCGCGTTTGCTCGCACACATGCGCACTGACACTATCACTGTCGCGCCGTTACATCTGAGCTGAACAAACTCTAAAAATACGATCCCATAGCACATATTTCTCATGTAACGCGTATTAAACTGCAACGTTTGATATTTCAGTTGGAATATCCGTGAGAAAGATACGATTTGTTACTGCGGTACGTGAAAGAAAAATACGCTGCTATGGGATCGCACCTTGACTTCGTATCGCAACGTGGAACGGGACGAACTCAAAAAGAAACAACTGTCTAGGTGAGAATACATTTAAAGAAAAAATTCTTATATTTAAATGTTCTTATATCGAGAGTCTAGTGTAAGTAAATCTAAATGACACTGATATGATCACGTTATAAGGAATTTGTACAAAGAGCGCACAAGTACAACACTACTCGATTTGTTCGTAACTGCATTCAAAAGAACCGGTCGTAATTTTCAACCTTCGTGACTGTAAATCTTGTCTCATCTACGTTCTATAATATATCAATAATAATTTTCTTCTCATTTTGTATATATATGCGTATACAGGTGACTGCAAAAAATGTATACGAGTAGCACTATCGAATTGTTTCTTCAAAAATTGTTTCAAAAACAAAAACAAAACAAAAAGACTGATCTTTATATTCCAAGAAAATTATCAGTACTTTTAAAGTTTGCCACAAATTTTTAAAATATTTGGCGTCAAATACCCTGAAACATAAAACATTTATTATAAATTGTTTCTAAGAGGGATTTCGAGTCTATATTATTTCAACGTTATATACAGTATATTTATATATAATTTTATGTATTTAGATAATTAAATATATTCTCTCTAAATTTTTGCTACTCTATAGATTTTTCCCAGAACACCCTATACATTAGGCTTTGTTGGGGAGATATCTAGCGCGGGATATAAAATATGTTCCCATCGTACACTCCGTATGATGTGTGTGTTTTATATATATATATAATATATATATATATAAGTTACAAATTTTCTATAAACACGTATTTCAAGGTTTCTTTTTAAAGGGTACTTTTGTCTCGTCGATATTAAATTACAATTGTGACTTCGTTTTAAGCGGCAGGTTTTATATCGATAGTATCGATTCGCACGTCGAACGTGACATTCGTGTTTCTTCCAATTTCTCGTCGTGATTCGACTCGCTTTTTGTAGGTGAACCCGACATACCAAAAAAAAAAACCACCAAGCGACGTTTAATCCGGTCTTCCCTCTCTAACGCGATTGATTAAATGGCGTGGTTATTTACCACCGGGGAGTCAGGGATAAATCGAATACACTGGACTGGCATCGCACAATAATAGATCACAAATTCTGTGAGCGTATCATACGATACAAAATTACTTTGGAAGATCACAAATTTATTTTTTTATTTTTTTTTTCTGGTTTTTTTGCAAAGCGCAGACAATTGTCCAATTCCCGTTTATCACAAATTTTTATTGTATGCGTCATTCTCTGCTCGAGTTCGTCACCAAGAACCGACTGTATCTGCGTGGTGCTAAATTGTTATCACTATCTCGTTATTATTAATCATTATTGTTACTGCTGAAGTTATTATTTTACCGTTAACAAACATCTTGCGTATAATAACAACGGAAAAAAAAATGCTTCTCTTATAAGTATATATATATATATATATACTCTCTATTCGGGTTTTTTTATCTCGTCAATATACTACATATATATATATTGTCTTCGTAGTACATACACACGTGCGAAATACAACCTGCGGTTTATAGACAATAAACGTACGGTATGCGCACACGCGTTTGCACGTGCATATTAGATGTGTATAAATAAGTCTAATCTAGGCTACACATGATTATACATACGAGATATATATATATATAAGACGAGTCACATTGAAAAAATATATGTATGTGTTTTAATCAGGGAGGAAGAAGACGCGCGAGAGCTACGTGCGTATGTGTTGTATAAGCACATGGATATGTATTGTTCGTTCGGGATGATGGGGGACCGAGATTGTTCGACTGTGCAAAGACATTATTCTTGATACATCTTCTCTTTTTCTCTCTCTCTCTCTCTCTCTCTCTCTCTCTCTCTTTCATTCGAGTATGTAATTCGCGAATCTTACACACACTTACATTTTCCTCGCATACTCGTCAAGTCGACGATTTTCGTTCGTTCTCATTCGCCATCAGCCTTATTCACCATCTTTCTTTTGTTTTCTCGTCTCAATTCACATGCGCTTTTAGTATACTACATCACGTTTTCATTTCAACGTGTTGCTGCCGTACGCTCCATCGCAGCACGAAATATTTACGAGCAAGACAAGTGCGTTTACGTTTTAAGCGTGCTGTTAGTTAGCACCCAAAAGTAAGTTTAGGTTCACTACCCCGAAAATTCGCAAGCTGCCGGAGTACGAAACTTCCGGACGTGTATGTACAAGCAACCAAGAAGTTACGGAACGTATTTATGTATCGTGATCCGCGCACCGGGATCTTTGTCGCTCGCACGTCGAGTATATAAATCTTAAAGTAATGATCGCGATCTATTTTAGCAGTTTTTTTCTTTTTTTTTGAATAAACCGGAGAGATTTCTGCGTCGTTTTCCCCGTTTTTTTTAATCTAAACTATTTGTTGTTTACGATATATGTACACACGTGTTTCTTTCCATCTTCGCACGATAGGGTCATATTCATTCTGCGACAACACAATTACAGGAATTTTTTCGGATATATAAATATTACACACTTAAAAATAAACGTAGATATATTAATTGTAAAAGAGGGTAAAATATATAGGAACAATCTAATAACACAGTTGTTAACACTAGCCTATGGTTGAGTCTATATAAACTCGCTTGTTCTCAAGAATTTAACCGCGATTCGAGGCGGTTCCAAATAAGCTTAAATAAGATAAATTAAAAATTACTAAAAGAAAGCAACAATATGCATTAAAAAAAAAAAAAAAAAAAAAAAAAAAAAAAAAAAAAAAAAAAAAAAAAAAAAAAAAATAATGTGTCGTGAGATGCAAAACAAAATTTTGATAACACAAGAATATAAATAACATAATATAAATAATAATAAGAAGTATTCAACAAATGCTTTCGATCGCTACTCGACTTTAAATTACATCCATATGCAAAAACAGAAACCAATACTTTTTTTTTGCCTCATATAAACGCTCATTAATAATGCGAGATAATAATAATGATGGTCCAGAGATCAAGAGAAACTAATACTACAGTGTGTGAATACCTGTCTCTTTTACATTTTTTTTTTTTTTTTTTTTTTTTTTTTTTTTTTTCATTTAAGTTATAGAGTTCTAGAATGCGTATGTGTGTGAGTTAACATTAATACATTTATACCTTATAATTATAGTAATAATTAATTGTAATTATTCGCGCACGCACGCGTTAAGCTTTTAGTTTATAATTTACAGAGTACACCAGAGTGTGTCATATATTAAGTTAAGGGATTCAAGAAGGTTCAGCAATGTGTGTTATGAGTTTGGTGCGAATTGGAGCGTTTCTTCCACTTTTCTCTTTCTGTTGCTTTTCTCTTTTTCTGAACTTCACAGTCACTGTCACACATTTACATATAATACTGAATCTACGTAAGGTATTTTCAGCCAGACCCAAAGAGAGATATCTCCGCGTTGCACAGCATCGTGCGCGCAGCAGCATTATTTGCTTCTCAACTTCTGCCGGTATTCGCTTTATCCTTGAAATAGCGTGATATTAATGTCTATTTTAACGCGCAGATGTCTGATCATGAATGTTCCTCATTTATGAAGCTATTGACGAGCTATAAATCATGTGCTGCTATTAACTCTTAACGGCGTCTTTTCATTCTCTCTCTTTCTCTCTCTCTCTCTTTCTTACCATTTGAGAATAGGAATAATTCAATATACATACATCCCTCCTAGAATTATTGATATTGTACATATTGTGACAATACCAGTAATTCTCGGAGTGCCCGTAATAACGGGTTCTCTGTTAATAAAATCTCGTTTTTTTTTTTTGTTTTTTTACAAATAGAAGCTTTAAAATTTTTTATACAGTCAGAAGCGTGTCTACGGGATTTCTTTGCTTATGAACAAGCGTAATTTACAAATAATAGATTCACCGTTTAAGAGTTAATACGCACGCTGTTACATAATCGCGGACATTTGTGTAATTTCTGTGAATCGGATCCTTAGATCCGCGCGATTGCGTATAAAATAGTCCCGACAAATCGCGTTTGTCTTTGCACACGGTTCGATATATAATATATGTGTATATATAGATATATATTTAATTGCTCTCTTTGGGGGATCAACAGTCTTTTATAAATTCGCGATCTTCTTGGTTTGATGCACCGGTGTGTCGTACATGGGCACGCACTTGTAATATTGCGCCGGATACGACGCGTACGACGTTTCCGATGGTGACAAACGTCCGCGGAATCGGTTACGCACGATGTGAATTATCAGCAACAGGCACAGTAGCGCAAGTACGACGATTAACGTAATTGGCACTGTACCCCAGCCCCGACTGGTAATTTGGTTGATCGCATCGTTCTCCTTGTTAGTCTGAAACAAATGTAACAGCAACGAGTTTTAAATTACCTTGTTCCAACAGATTCCATCTCTTAAATGTGTACTTGATAATTTAATTATAGCGCATATATTATTCGGGACATAATATTCGAAGTTATATTTTAAAAACATGAGAAAAAATTAAAGTAACGCGTACACATTAAAGTATGTACACACAAGTATATTAAAAAAATCAATCGTGTGAGAACTCACCGTGACAGGACACACAGGGCAGCAAGCGCCCGGTTTCGGTGGCAATGGATTATCGCAGGCAACCGAGCAGATGGTTTCCTTGCAATTAAGCCGCCCGCCAAGCTCGCAAGTGCACGTGGTGCAGCTGTTCGGATGCCAAGTCGATCCCTCCGGACGCGTCTCGTTCAAATGATCCGTGCACGAAGCTCGACAGCGGCATATCTGCAAAAAAATGAATTACGCGAATAATTTCTAAACACACGCATAAAAGAAACACACTACAGTTTCTTATTCGCGTCTCTTGTTCTAAGTTGTTTTGTTTCTCCGTACATTCTGTGAATACTACGTAGACGTAAATGTTGTACTTACGAAGCAGCCGCGTTTGTTTGTCTTGTATCCGTAGCTGCATCTCTTTCTGCACCCGAGCAGAGGTGGGCAACCAATGGCGGGCGGCTTGCACTCGCAGAGGGTGCAGTCGTTCTCATCCATGGCGAGACCCTGTTCGCAGTGGAGGCTGCAGACGAGCTTGGGGCAGATCCTTTTGTCGTCCAGCGAGCTTTCGTTTGCCGCGGGATAATGTGGCAGCGTCTGACAGGCGCACACTGGGCAACCATCCTCGTCCTTAACGAGGTCGCAGTTCAGTCCGCAGTCCGGCAGATCCGGACAAACTTTGTAATCTTCCGGCTATGAGAGACAAGAGTCGTCAGTTTCGCGAGATATACAGAAGCCGGTCGCGTTAGCGCGGCGACGTTGCTGCGAGACGAGAACACCGGAATTTCTCTTATCCGAGAACTTTGTCGCGATACCTCTGAGAAGAAACCTTCTCCCACGCTGCAGCTACGTTTCCGAGATAAGAGAAACTATGATGTGTCCCCGTCTCTCTAGCCAGGTCACGGTTGGAGGAAATCCAAGCAACATGATGCCGCGAACGTTTACATTTAGCCGGGCTTGATAGTGAACGCTTGACGGTGGACGAGAAATACGTATACTACCGAGGAGATTGCATTGTCATTGTAGCACATAATCGTCAGTCAATGCGAAGCAGTTCTTGCATCGCTTGCATCGCTTGCATCGCTGCAACTGTATTTGTGCAGTATCATCTTGAATGTTATTTACATTCTAAGACTCCTTTTCAGAGCCAGATTGTCGGATAAGAATATTGATTGAATGTCAAATCAATGCAATCTCTTCTAATCTCTCTTTGTATTTATATTAGTTTTAATCACGCGCGTTAAATAACACAGTCCACGCATCCGTAGTTTACTATCAAGTCTGATCGAACTTTGTCCACTAGTTTCTTCGCTACTTCCTTACCATATCGTCGGCGCACTCGCAGATAGGACAATTATCCTCATCCGTGCGGAAGCCGTGGAAACATTTCATCTTGCAGTCGTCCAGGGGCCTGCAAGTGTCGCCGGAACGCTGATCGAAGGTGCTGTTGTTTGTCGGTGGTGGACAGTGAGGACAGCACTCGCCAGGATCAGGCGGTATCGCGTTTTCGCAGGATTTGCACATGGTCATCTGGCAGGACGCGATCCCGTCCTCGTTGCAGACGCAAGTGCTGCAGTCATTCTGCTTCCATTCTTCGCCAAGTTTCCTCGAGACGCCTTCGTGAATACAGTTCTGCGGCTTCTCCTCGGGTTTCGCCCAAGAAATCGGGTCTAGAAACAGAAAATAAAGTGGAAGGTAGATAAAGAGTGTCATTGGGTTTAAAATCTAAACGTGCCCGAGTCGAAATTTTGACTCTCTGATGAACCTCTCATTCTACTATATATAGGAGTTACGATAGTAAAGTAGGTTCAATTGCAAGGATAAAATTTGCTCCTACTTTCAACCTAAAAGTGTCACAAATTTCCATTTTTTCCAAGTTAGGTTTAAAGTAGGTTCTATTTTTGTAGGAGCTAAAGTAGTAAAATAGGTTCAATTAAAACGTCAATAAAAAAATTGACGGGGATTCGAACTCGAGACCCTTCGTCGTATTTGCAGCTCCTGCACTCAGTCTGCAAGACCA